TGAAGGGATGGTACGCCAACATTGGGTAATTCATACTTTGAGAAGTGACAAAGGATTAGACAAAGTTGTCGAACAAAGATCATTAATTAAATAATTGCATTGAAATGTATAATTAGTTTGGATTGCGCTTTCTTCCGGTAATCTGAGCACTTCATTTGTAAGATGAAGTACAAATCGAAGATTTGTTTAGTGCCAACTATCTAAAATAAAAATACACAACGATAGAGGGGAAAATGATACATGACGAATGGTTGCATGAGTAAAATGCTTTTACGAAACGGCATGCCTTTCATTCATAAAAACATTTTTCGAACCCAACCTTTCCTTTATCACTCCCAAGAGCTCGCAATGATCTGAACATAACATCGTATGACAAAATGACATGATGAAATATAAGTCTGTTTAACTCAGTCTATGTCAGTTTCAAGGCCAGATGTCATATGGGGAGGATTCCAATCACGGTGAGATCTCCCATAAAACTTAGCCACCTGCCTTTTATTGCATTGACGCAATCGAGCTTTTTACCGGCTCGATGGTCACCCGGTTTACCAAAGGCCGCACGGGCTGTTGGAAATCTGAGGCAGAGTGCGAAAAGTCGGCCATCAGAACCTTATTTGAGCATTCCGGTAGCTGGAAGGTTAGCAATATGACGGAAGCTCCCATAGATCGACAAAAAGAAGAAGAAGTACCCGTCAAGAAATGAATCGTTAGTCGTTCTGAACGGAGGAAACAGACAACTTGATGCCATTACAGCATATCAGGTAAGGTTCTACGGAAACAGTACTGACAGTGGGAGTTAACAGTCGGAAATTTAAGTATCTCCTCATCCAAAGGTTAAGCGCGTGTGCTAGTTGAGTAGGCTGCAAAGCATCGACTGGACAGCATAGAAGAACTGTCGTCAGCGAAGCATCAGAGTCCTAGAGCTGTGAATCCCCGAAGGTAGAAGCTATTCTACTCAGGTGTTGACATCAAGACACGCGCTCAAGCTGGTGTTGGTGTTCTGGTAGAACTCAGCCGGACTGACAGGACCTTTGAATGGAAGCCTGTCAGGCGGAAGGGTGGCAGTCCTAAAGAGACAATACAATTCTTTCCTTGGGGAAGTAAACTGTGCTCTGAAGTTGTTGCGGTTTTGTGCAAACAAACAACGGACTGTCCATCATGAACACTTTCTTCGAGCATCGAAGAGTGCTTCAGTTTCTTGGTACTGGGAAACTTGTGTACAGATGTGATAATCGTATCATTTGACCTACGACGTTCTGTAATAGATGTTCGCGTTGAGAGAAGCCTTGGCTGTCAACCATTCATCACTCTGTTGTCGTCATCCTCCTGGGAAAGCGAAGGAGTACTACGCGAAGATCTGGTGAAGCGTTTGCACGAAAGGCTGTGATCGATATGGCAACCGTTGTGATTAAGAAAAATCTGTTTCAAGACAAACCTGTCTATGTTCAAGTCAAATTTCAGCCATGGCTTAAAAACCGTACTGCAAGGGGCGGACATCTGCTTTATGACTCCAGTGCCTTAACACTTTCGGCAAAGTCCGGAGTTCAGATATTTGAATAGTCGTCCAAACTGAGAAGTAGCAACTGCAATGGTTTGGATGTGATTTGCGAATGCTTCTACAGAGGAAAGCGCAGCAGCTAATGTCCCTGAGAGTAGCTAAGAATCACCTGAGGCAAATGACTCAACGGATTATGCTCGAGACTCAGATTTTCTTCTGCGGTAGCAAGATGCTGGCATAAAATCTATAAGTTTAAAAGTAACTGTCTGCCGCGTCTACATCTGCTATCCGAAAGCATGGCTATAACCGAAATTATTGGCCGATATCGAAAGTGTCCAATTGTGCATAAAATATGGTCATGGTTTATTGAAACATGGGCCGAAGTCTGGTGTTTGATAAAATTGGCCACACGTAACGTAATCGCCAGATTTTTTTCGCATCATGCAAGTTTCAGCAAAGTTGATGAACAACTTTACGCGTTTGTGATCATTTACTGATATACCGTATGAACTTTATTCTCACTGACATAACTGGGCGATTTGATGCGTGATTAAATCATGATGATCGATTACTGTAGTCTTCACTTGTACGCTAAATCTGCAGGCTTCTTAATTGTGACCCTTTTCTGCATAAAACGAAATTTCGTTACCGGAACATTCACCTACACTGCATTACCTGCACTCCTCGATGATATGCCTTATTCTTGACTATTTGTTTTCATAGCACTGACTTTCTGATCAGAACCATCGGTCAGGCATGCCTTACTTTTCGCACGCAATATCTACACGCAAATGACTACCTTAGCATATGATCTACTGCTTATTTTAGCAAAAGTGGTACTTCTTTGAAAGGAGGAAAGCGAATTACCCTGC